TTTCAAAATTGCATGTCAAATTTTGGAAAAGAAAAGTCCCAACCAATTTTACATGCAAATGTGGCGGCTTCCTTTTGTAGTAACTAGTACGTAAGTATGTTTCTTATGCCAAGTCAAGTGTTTTATACATTAACTCTTACCAGGTATTTCCCTTTGAATGAAGTATTGATAAACTCTTCTTCTTGAAGATAATTTATTTCCACCAACTTAGATCCGTCATTCGCACATTTATTCCTAGCCTTGTGACAGGTGGTTTCCTCAGGCTCCAATTTGTAGCAAGAGCTTCTGAAACCCAACCAGTCATTGTCACATATGGCTAAATTGAGAATAAAAACACCATGTATTCTATTTAAAACACGAGCAGGAGTGCGTTATCAGGTTCGGTTGTGTGTTACTATTTACTATGGGCCGTTTTCAGACAGCAATGCGATGTTAAAATTCCGTGGTTAGTATTAATAGAAGTAATAAATAACGATATGGAAACAATGGACCATATTTTGCATTATAGACTAAATTTTGATCTAGACAAAAATTTCGTCACAGCTTGAAAGAGCATCACAAAATTAGTAATATTCCAAAGTTTCGTTGCGAAATGTTGTAAAATGAGGATAATATAGCCTTGCGAAATTTGCAATTTTCAGTCATTTTGTATTACAAACGGGAAATTGATGCCCCAACACCCGATTGGGCTGTCAATTTCCCGTGCGCAATACAAAATGACTGAAAAACGGCTAACTTCGCAAGGCTATATTATCCGCATTTTACAACATTTCGCAACGAAACTCTGGAATATTACTAATTTTGTAATGCTTTTTCAAGCTATGATGAAATTTTTGTCTATATCAAAATTTAGTCTATAATGCAAATGGTCCATTACATCAATTGAATTACTGTATATCAGTCGGGACTTACCTGGCTGGACACAAATAGCATGACTTTTCGCATAATAGTCTTGCTTATCAGGTGTGCTGTTTCCAACATTAGGGCATTTTTTCAGTTTCAACTGCATTACATTTGTCAGGTTTTCAACCCAATGTGTTTCGCATGACTCTTTTTTATAAATGCCCAACCAGTACGACTTGTTGATCAAAGATTTATTGTTTCCAGTAGGAAACTGTAGTTCACTGGCACAGCTTGAATTTGCGTCTTTCCAAGACTTTTGTTCTCCATCTGAAAAAGTATAATAAAATTAATATATATCATATCTTTTTATGAAAAGGATTTACAGATTTCATATAAAACGCTTCCGATGCTTAACTGCTTAACTATATTTTCGGCTTACTAGTTCGAAAAACAAAGGCATTCGGTCAAAACAGTTATTAGTTGGTTTTAATTACTCGGCTCTTTTAAATCACATACATTAACTTCAAAAGGCCGATTCCTTATTATTTCTCAAGATTTTAATACTCCAATCTCAGTTACTTGAAATACTAACATTCGTCAACCGCTTCGAATCATTTCAATTTAAAACGAGTCCAACATTGCAAAGCATAATAGTGAAGCATTAGGATGAATGAACTGTATACACAAACTTTTTGCTCTATAAACTGAATAATGGATTTTTAATATTTATCATTACCATTATTATTCTTATATACATGGCGGTGCAGCGCCAGTAATTTCATTGAACGACGTGTGATATTGCAATGTTCTGGGGTGAGCATGTTTTCACGCGAAAATACAACAAAAAAGACGGTTTTTCTTCCACCTTTCTCATTTCTTCACTCGTGTAAAGAAAATTATTTAGCACACATGTAAACGTTTGCTTTTCCAGTGAATACCTTGCATTTTTGGCGTAGAAACTGTTGTGAGAAAGACTTAATCCGGAATATTAACCTTACTGTTTCACTACACTAATAGCGGCGAAAATATTTTCATAGAAATACGTGCATGCAACAACCCTTTGCGGCTTCGCCTATATTTTCAAAATATTGTTTCAACACGAAGTATTTTTGTAACTACGTCAACACCGAACGCAGGATCGCGTTGCTCGTGTCATGGCAACACGATCATTGTTTTTTTATTGTTTTGTACAAACGTACAAAACTGAAAAAAGAAATAAACAGGAACTATCAATATCTAGAATATATATGAAGTATCTTATCACTTTGTATTGTATGTGCATTATTTGTTATGTTTTAAGGCTTTATTAACACATACTAAACTAAATCTCAACTAACTAACAAAATGGTCGACAGTTACTTTTATATCAGGCTACTGACCAGCAGTCTCAACTGCGGGCTCATACACAGTACTTCATGTAGTGAAATGTATATAATTAAACCTAATACCATAACTGCACCTCTCGGCTTGGTGTAACTGGTATCCAATTTTCCTAATTAAAATAAATAATATATTTCTAACCAATAAATACTGAATACTTAACTAAATGTCCTATATCAATTAAATATCTAAATTTGTTCGATAAGCCTTTTCGCCGGTTAGATCGTTCTACTTGATCTTCTTAGTTTAATGGTGGGAGACTTGGCAATGCTAAAACTACCATGGGTGCATTGTGCCAATTCGGATAGCCTGGGTTGCCGTACATGCTTTCGGACTGAGGAACCACTGGAGCTGCAGGAGTGAACTCCGTCGAAGAAATACAAGTATAGATGGAGTGAGTAACACTTGTGTGTCTGTCGGAGAATCAAGATTACCAGGTATAGGTTCGGGTCTCTCACTAATCAAAGGTGGTGGTGGTGGACTATCCTGCAAAAGCCGATAGACATGACGATTCCAAAGTCTTCCGTCTGCTAATATAATAAGATATGAGTGAGGTTCCTGTCTTTCAAGAACGGTTGCGGGTTGCCATTTACCATTTGACCTGCAGTAATTCCGAGCGAGGACTGGCTGACCAGAATGAAATTCCCTAAATCTTGCATGTTGATCATGATATCTCTCCATCAGTGACTGGCTGGTTGAAATTACACTAGCAGTATCAGGTTTTACTAAAGACAGTCTAGCTCTCAATTCTCGTTCGACGAAACGCTTGGCAGGCGAACAGCTGGTAGTGCTATGCGGCGTCCCTCGATAACTCAGCAGGAAACTCTGGATCCGCTGGAGTAGACATGACTGACGTAGTTTTTAAAAGTCTGGACAAACCTCTCGGCCTGACCGTTAGAAGTATGGAGACACCAATGGTCTCCTCGATGGCGGTGTTCAACTTCGGCCACCACACGTGACTTCTCGACATGGCCTTCATTCGGGCAACTCCTGGATGAGCTTCATGCAACACGCTTAGAACTTGTTTCTGGAACTTCGGGGGTATGATTACACGTAGGCCCCTAATTGCATGGAACCTAAGAAAAGGGACCCAACTAGGTGATGGGGAATTGTAAAAGGCAGAACTTTTCGGGGACCTAGGGCTCCTTGCAGTCCAGAAAATGTTCGTACTTTTCAGCCCCCAAAAGTCGATTTCTTGCAATTTTAGACACAATGTTTTAAATCCCATCTTGAAAGATCGAATATCATGCAGGTCATATAAAATTCGATATAAAATTTGTAAACATTAAGTGAAAACCAGCAAAACTTACTGTCTTCTTTGTGCTTATCGTGCTTTTGAATAATTTAAACATAATTTGCGATTATTCACTCTTTTCACGAATTAATATCACATGCATATAGTTAAATATTAAAGAAAATGAATCCAGCAAAAATTCTCATTTATCATTGCACAAATTCCATTTATCACTGCACAAATTGGCCAACATGCACTGCACCTTAAAATAATTCCTGTTGATGAAGGGCAACTTCCAAGTGCTGTTGTTAACGACAGTTATGGTTTCAGAACTTACCAGTCGAGCTCCCATCACAAAAGTAAGAAAACTTTTGCGAACAATTTGATGTTAGATAAATTGTTCCATTTTTCCAAAAACCACAACCACTACAACCAACATCAGTATTTATTACTTTACATTTATCCCATTCTTTGAATAAGCTACCATTCAGCCATGTCCAATTAGCACTTGTGTCAATATTAGTTTCGTATATCTTTCCTGTCCAAAAGTGAGAAGTTCCAAATGACAGATTGGCATTGCGTAGTAAAGCTTTGGAAATATTCCCTGCATCAAGTGCCCGATTTAGACTCTTGCAGTGGGCAAATGAATCAAACCAGGTCATCCTGTCATGGACTGGAAGAAAACAGCGACTGTTATTTCCCTTGCAACGATCTTTATATCTCCCTGATAAAACAATAGAGTATTTTAGGAGGACGGTTTAACATTGAAGGGAAACGACTGCAAAGATACTGCTAAATAATAAAAAGGCATATACCCCGAGCGCAAGTGCATGCAGGATAAATAATCGAAGTAAGCAAATATTTCACAGGTTATCAATTCAAGAACAATGTAATCGATCAAAATTATATTGTTTTGAATTTCTAGTTTGGAATTTTCAGGCTGCGCCATAAATAGAAATGAAAGTAAAAAATAGTCCAAAGAGATGAAATAAAAATAAAGTAGTAAAAGATCAAATATCACGCTTCAAAATGAGAAAATATAATAAATATGCACGTTAATAGAATAAGCACTTTGAAATAAAAATAAAGTAGTAAAAGATCAAATATCACGCTTCAAAATGAGAAAATATAATAAATATGCACGTTAATAGAATAAGCACTTTGGAATAAAAATAAAGTAGTAAAAGATCAAATATCACGCTTCAAAATGAGAAAATATAATAAATATGCACGTTAATAGAATAAGCACTTTGAAATAAAAATAAAGTACGTAGTAAAAGATCAAATATCACGCTTCAAAATGAGAAAATATAATAAATATGCACGTTAATAGAATAAGCACTTTGGAATAAAAATAAAGTAGTAAAAGATCAAATATCACGCTTCAAAATGAGAAAATATAATAAATATGCACGTTAATAGAATAAGCACTTTGAAATAAAAAAAAAGTAGTAAAAGATCAAATATCACGCTTCAAAATGAGAAAATATAATAAATATGCACGTTAATAGAATAAGCACTTTGGAATAAAAATAAAGTAGTAAAAGATCAAATATCACGCTTCAAAATGAGAAAATATAATAAATATGCACGTTAATAGAATAAGCACTTTGGAATAAAAATAAAGTAGTAAAAGATCAAATATCACGCTTCAAAATGAGAAAATATAATAAATATGCACGTTAATAGAATAAGCACTTTGGAAGGCAGCACTTTGAAAAAAACTGCGTGCCTATGGGCCACATGAACCTTTTTACAAGATGATACAAATAAATGCTTTCGCAATTCTCAACAACTAAAAACAAGCAATGCACACACTTGAAAAACTGTGAAATATTTACGTTATGCAGACGATAAAATTATGCATGCATGTTAAGCACTTATGCTCCACCTCCACATAAGTTTTTTAAGCTCGTCTTGCAAAAACAGTTATAGAATAAAACATACACATTCATTGTACCTCTCTTACAAAATGATGGGAGTAATTTGTTTGAACACGAAACATTTCTAAAATCTCCAGCTATATTTCGACTTTCACACTTTCTTATTTTAAACAACGTTGCCTTGCGAACTGATTCAGTAAAATTTGATGCGTTTTTCGTAAGTCCAATCCAAATTCCATTACGAGATCTGTTGCTAATGTACTTTTGTATATCTCGCTTGTATTCCAGTAAGGTTGCGTTACACTGTAGGTAACTGTTTTTTGCATCTTTCCCGGTCGTATAATGGGGTGTTTTATAATAAAGAATCACTTCGCACTTCCGCTCTGAGAAGGGAATAGAAATAAAATTAGATTGACGTTTTCCAACACAGCTTTACAACTTTGCCTCAGGCCACCCTTTGTACGACTTTGGTAAAGCTTTTTCTTTAAAAATAATTCTGTTATTCATCGCTACCAGCTTCTAAAATATGGCTGCACGAATTGAAATGTACTTTTTAATAATCGATAGTTACGGACTTTTTTCTGCAACCAGTGCATGCAGTATGGTCTTGTATTCGAGCGCAGAAATTGAAAACACTCAACCTTCAGAGCAAACTGCACAAGAAAATGGAGCGTATACAAAGCTTGATCTTGCACAAACGAAATGTATCAAATGAAAAACAGCCTTAATATAAATTGCTTTTAAAAGCAAAAAGTTAGGGCACATGCGCGGAGTAACCAAAAATACGAAATAGAATAAAAAGTCGCCAGCTTTGGCCTTTTCCCATTTAGCGATTTCCCGCTAAGCATAACGGTACGAGGCTGTAGGTTGCTTCGGACCGACATGTCCAAAGAATAAGTTGCAACTTCATGATCAACTGAGGTGAATTAATTTTGATCCCGTCCAAGGACTCGTTTGATATTCTTCACCTGGTATCCAGTATTATCATGTAAACAGATTAAAGTAACATGGCTGATAATTTGAGTTGGATATTTACCTGTTTTCGCTTCCTGGCAACGATTGTCATTGCATCTCACCTGTGAAAATATTATATATGGACGTTGTTAATACCATCACACATAATTCACATACGTTACATGAATACAAAACGTCTACATGCGCTGATAATAGAGTAATATACAGAGTCCTTTTTGACTAGAAATCGATTAATCCGGAACACCAAGCAGAGTTAACTACTTTAATGAATAATGTGAATATAACTTAATCGTCTAAAAAAAATTTGCAACTATGAAAATTTTAATATCATAATGCTGTAATTGTAGTTTTATTATAAACATATATACATATGTTGTCTCTGGCTGTCGATAAAGACTTAATAAAAATATGGCATGGCCATGCAGACGAACAATAGTAAATGTAACTTCACAATGAAGAACAATAGTAAATGTAACTTCACAATACATTGTGATTTCAAACGAAAATGGTTTTCACCATCAATAACGTCTTGACTGACTTGTGATCGGCGATCGTGAATCAAAAAGTTGCTTGGTTAAGTTCTCAATTTTGTTCATCATCTACATTACATTCCTATCCAGTTCACTTCCCAATGCTCATTGGGGCTTTTTGGTGACGGATCAAATCAAGTATTACGCTTGTTTATGTTACTTACTTGGCCTAGATTATTTATTTACAGCAATTGTGATGATTGCTTTCCTAACTATGTTTATCCTAACCCACCCTACCAACTTTCCCTGTAGGAGGAAACTGGAGCGGCACGACATTCGGTAGAACGTTGAGAGACTCTTTTCACAAAAGTCCGTAACTAGAATTGAACCGACGATCCAGTGGCGCCGCTAGCTTGATAATTGGGGGGGGGGGGG